CCCATGGGGAGGGGAAGCACAGAGGGGGAAGTGTCCTTGACCATAGAAACTTGCTGCTCTCCTGCCTGAACAGCTCACTGACCTTCCAGACATCCTGAAAGGCATCTCTATTTACTCAGACTTTAGGGAAGGGAGGACCTACCAGGGGGCTGAGGCTTGTGTAAGGATTTCTGCTGTGAGCAGAAGCCCATTTTCCAGAGCTGTCTGCCATTGGCTTGCTTTCCTGGGGCTCTTTCTTGGGGCAGGGCTTCTGGACAGTGTCTGGTAGGATAGGCTTCCAGTCTACACTGAGATCGTTAGGAGCCACCGTGAAACGAATAACGAAAATAATCAGCCTTATGCAAAATGTACTTAGTAAGCTGAATAGATTTCTTTTTCATAACAACAAGCTAGATGTTTTCCGATTTCTGAGGAACAAATCTGCTTTTAGAAATGTTTTACAGGAGTGAAAATTAGGTTTTCCAATTGAAAAGAATGCAACAGGTCGCCCTTCCTTTTTCCCCAATTTTTGTACAAATTGTACCTCTGCCTATAAGCCATCAAGAGCACTATCTCTTTTGCTCTGGGTTTGTAAAGGCTGGGGAAAGAGAAGGAATAAGAATATGGAGCCTTAAAGTGTGATTACATCTGGGCCTTTCTGATATGATCTCTGTTTACTTTGTTAGACGACGCACATGGACCTCAGCTCCAGGCTGATTTGAGTCCTTCTTAAGTTACTGACATTGAAGGTGCTGAACATTTCACAGACCTGCACTGGAAAGGCACAGCTTGTTCCCAGTGTGAGTTAATGCTTCATTACATTATCCTTAGTTTTGGAATTCTCCAAAGAGAACAGCTTTTCTATTAATGGTATCCTCCCAGTTCAGGTAGATTCAAACAACTTTATTCATTCCTTGTCCCTCTACTTAGTTTGTTCTTTTGCTGATGATTCTTTCCATCTACAGTGAACTTTCATTTCTCATCTGACAATATTTTAATTTCAAGACGTAATTCCTAGCTGTGCATTTCTATTATTTAAGGGTATGTCTGTTTAATATTAATACTAAAAAGGACTACTTCCAGTCTTTCCTTTTTTCGCCTAGCTGCAGATGGCTGACTGTGCCTCTTGGTTTTATTTCTTCATATGAATTCCTTTTCCTCTGGTGCTGATGCAATAAACCCCGATAACCATTGAGGTTAATCTTAAACAGCATTAAGAGCAATTACAGTTCACAACCTCTGTGCACGCTGGTTGACCTTAAGCTTTCTTACATCCCACACCATTCCCGAACCATTTTCTGCTGCCTTCCAGCTTCTCAAACGCTGTTACTAGGAGGAAAATTGATTTCCAACAGGAAACTCGTTCTCTGAAACAAGTTTGCTGTTGTGTCACGCCTGACTTGGTTAGGCAACAGTTTAGCAACCGATCTTCTTCATGTCAAGACACGGGAACAGAAAGAAAAGTGAGCGTCCCTGGCTCACACCGAGAGTTCCCGCTCATTTTATGCATATATAATAGATATATATATATACACACGAGGCACTGGGGGGGTTACTGGTGGCCTGGCCGGTCCCGCTA